TTAGGGCTTAGGGTTTAGGGCAGTTTGAGGGTCTAGGCCTTCCAAAAATCAGGAACTTCGGACTTCGGGTCTCGGGCTTGGTGTCTTTACCACTGAGAGAATCCGAAACTCTTGGCAGGTCCACCGGATCTTGTGGATTTGGTTGGGTTTTTTACGCTTAGTCGACATGCTGTCTTACGTTCATGTCCGCAGCAAGGGTCTAGAACTCTCTTGGAGGCACTATACACTGGTTTAGAGGCGTTTAGAATTTACGGTTCTTGTGCGATTGCGCGGATCATGATGCAGGTCAGGGGTGAGGGTGGTGCTAGAGGTTTCTGCATTCATGTCTTATCGGGCTTGATTAACGTGGCTCTTGTGAGAGCGTGAACGAAGTTGTTTTGTGTTGGGCATTGAGGCTTCTGGACTTTGCGTGCTGCGGGTTGGTGGTTAGCACCCTAGACCCTAAACCCCAAACCCTAAGCCCGAAACCCTAAACCCTAAACCCTAAAAAGCTGTAAGGTTTAAGCCATACAGCCTAAATTTTAGACCCTGAGCCTCCAAGCCGCAAACCCCAAGCCTTATCTTCTCGTAGTTGCTCAAAATACTGGTCCCCGGAACAGCCATACGGTAGGTGTTTTTGGATGGGACTTTACCCTTAGGAATAGTATTCCAACACGCTTCTTCCTTCAAGCAAAACTGTAAGAAAAAAAATGAAATAAAGCTGGAGCCCCAAAGCTTTTCCCCGAAGGCTATGGGAGAGCAGCTGGAAACGTCGGTGGCTGGGCAGCCTCTGAGCACCCGGAAGGACTTTTCAGTTTAGAGCTACTTTGGTTAAGGGGTTGCGGGCTACTGTTTTTAACTCCTACCCAGGCTCCGTAATTGAACCTTACACAACCAGGAAGCACTCCACCCCTCCGAAGGTGTCTTACCATCATGCGAATTCAGTCAGGGCCTTTTCGTAGGGTTACTTTGACGAGGGTTTGGGTATAGGGATCTTGCAGAAGGAGACACTATAAGCCCTAAACCCTCAACCCTAAACCCCACCACTTCGCCAGGTTGGGAACGTTGTTTCAGGGGTGGTCTTTGGTCTCGGGGCTTTCGTTTTCGGAGTTTGGGATGTAGGTTTGTAGGTTCTAGGTTTTGGGCTTCAGGGTTGTAGCATCTGACTTCAAAGTTCATTCGGGTTAAAGTAGGGGCCTAAATAATTGCCAAGACTATTTTGGGAGTTCCTTATAACGCGCCCCAACACCCTATTCTAATTATTAAGGCCGCTCTATGAGGGCCATAGGCTGCCATAGACCCGAAGCCTCAAAGCTGAGCCGCAGTCACTGAAAGCTAAATTCGGGCCTTCTTTGCGCCGTAGCAAAAGCCATGTGCCTAGGGTTTAGAGCTTAGGGCTTCGATCCATATTTCTTGAGGGCATGTTGACTAAACCAAAGCAAAAAGCCGTGTGAATAGAGCCTTGATCCCCAAT